TCTGTGAGGGAATTACTACACCACGTGAGGCCCCTCATAACACCATATGTGAAGGAGTTACTACACCACGTGAGGCCCCTCATAACACCACCTGTGAGGGAATTACTACACCACGTGAGGCCCCTCATAACACCATCTGTGAGGGAATTATTACACCACGTGAGGCCCCTCATAACACCATCTGTGAGGGAATTACTACACCACGTGAGGCCCCTCATAACACCATCTGTGAGGGAACTACTACACCACGTGAGGTCCCTCCTAACACCATCTGGGAGGGAGTTACTACACTACGTTTTTGCTGTTCAACACCTACATTAATCTGTATGTTCACTGTATGTTCCTTTACCTTTCTCTAATGAAGGCTTTTGTTAAACCACCAGTGTATGTAATAAGTCATTTATGTCCAATGTATATTTTCAGCCTTCGGGCTGCAGAACTTTTTCAATAAACCGTTAATTATTATTATTATTATTATTATTACACACCAGAAGGGTAAATAAACACAAATGCCAATATAATGATTAATTAATACAGAAAATAAAGAAGTCAATAAAACAAACCTCATAAACAAACAACAAATAAATAAAATAAATGAGAAAAAAAGAAAATTAAATACAAAAATAAATACAAAGAAAGGATTACTTGACGATTAGACACCCCAGCTTATTTTACTTAATGATTAGACACCCCAGCTTATTTTACTTAATGATTAGACACCCCAGCTTATTTTACTTAACGATTAGACACCCCAGCGATTAGACACCCCAGCTTATTTTACTTAACGATTAGACACTGCAGCTTATTTTACTTAACGATTAGACACCCCAGCTTATTTTACTGAACGATTAGACACCCCAGCTTATTTTACTTAATGATTAGACACCCCAGCTTATTTTACTTAATGATTAGACACCAGCTTATTTTACTTAACGATTAGACACCCCAGCTTATTTTACTTAATGATTAGACACCCCAGCTTATTTTACTTAACGATTAGACACCCCAGCTTATTTTACTGAACGATTAGACACCCCAGCTTATTTTACTTAATGATTAGACACCCCAGCTTATTTTACTTAATGATTAGACACCCCAGCTTATTTTACTTAACGATTAGACACCCCAGCTTATTTTACTTAATGATTAGACACCCCAGCTTATTTTACTTAACGATTAGACACCCCAGCTTATTTTACTTAACGATTAGACACCCCAGCTTATTTTACTTAACGATTAGACACCCCAGCTTATTTTACTGAACGATTAGACATGTAATGTAACGGATCTTGTTAGAAGAAGTAAGTTAGGAGGTTATAGTAGTAGAATATTATAGCGAGAGGAGTATAAAAGAGAGGAAGACTTTGGTAGCGTGGCCGTGATAGTTATTTACTCTTATCGTACACTGGTCGTGTCTTACACGTCAATACACATCTATTACGTTCTTAAAGGCGACTTCTTAAACACTGCTTCGTTACAACTCTTTATTAATTACGAACATGACATGGACACATTAATAACACCTTCTATTGAAGTTACTAGGACATTATATTTACGTTACTAGGACATCATATTACGTTACTAGACACTCTGATTCTCGGACACGAACATGAAATGAATACACTTCCCACGTAGGTAACTCATCCCATGGAAAGCTCTGACAAACACTCACGTGACCTAGGGGAGGCCTAGCAGGGAGACTGCTTAGCTGGAACACTGGTGTCGGGAGGGCGACTGCTTAGCTGGGACACTGGTATCGGGAGGGCGACTGCTTAGCGGGGACACTGGTGTCGGGTGGGCGACTGCTTAGCTGGGACACCGGAGGGAAGTCTCGGTCCTGACCGGAGGCGACTTGCCTCCGGCCTCTGACTTCGGCTCGAGCAGGCCTGGTGGTGTCGTAGCTGGCCACCTTGTTACAAGACAACTACTTCTCTGCGAATCCTCGAGGGAGGACCAGGACGTCCTATATATTGGGATGCGAGCCGTCAGGTTCAGCTGGCCGGGGGGGGCGGCGAAGGGTCTCCTTACATTTTGACCCCGCAAATGTGCGGTCAGGCCTGGACCTTTTCAGAACTATCTGGGAAAGTCATCAGGCGGGGCCGTGTGTATATTGGGAGAGCAACCGTGAGAGTTCCCCTACACTTGACTTCCCAAACGTCGGGTCAGACTGGAGTTTCTGAGATGTAAGGAGAAGTCGTCAGGCGGGGCCGTGTAACACGAGAGGCCTTGAGTTGGGCTCCAAGGGTTACAAGTGACCTGGCTAATTGTGAGGTCAGGTCCGGCCTTTGTTCAGAGAGTAGGTTATTGTATATTGGAAGAGGGTCGGCTGGTGCCTTCTTACATGTCTGTTGTGGTGACATGTCACATGGGAGGGGAGCTAGTTGATTTGTAACCCCCGGTCCACCGTGAGAGTTACACTTGACCCCTCAAACGTCGGGTCAAGACTGGCCCCCCTCTGCGGTGTAGGACATTGTGTATATTGGGAGAGAGCCGGCTGGTGCCCTCTTACATGTGTGACATGGGAGGGGGAGCTAGTTGATTTACAATCCTTGGTCAACCGCAGAGTTACCCTACACTTGACCTAGGGAAGGCCTAGAGTTTCTGAGATGTCAGCTGTGGTCTGACAACCCATCACTACAGACACCCCAGCTTATTTTACTTAATGATTAGACACCCCAGCTTATTTTACTTAACGATTAGACACCCCAGCTTATTTTACTTAACGATTAGACACCCCAGCTTATTTTACTTAACGATTAGACACCCCAGCTTATTTTACTGAACGATTAGACACCCCAGCTTATTTTACTTAATGATTAGACACCCCAGCTTATTTTACTTAATGATTAGACACCCCAGCTTATTTTACTTAACGATTAGACACCCCAGCTTATTTTACTTAATGATTAGACACCCCAGCTTATTTTACTTAACGATTAGACACCCCAGCTTATTTTACTGAACGATTAGACACCCCAGCTTATTTTACTTAATGATTAGACACCCCAGCTTATTTTACTTAATGATTAGACACCCCAGCTTATTTTACTTAACGATTAGACACCCCAGCTTATTTTACTTAACGATTAGACACCCCAGCTTATTTTACTTAACGATTAGACACCCCAGCTTATTTTACTGAACGATTAGACACCCCAGCTTATTTTACTTAATGATTAGACACCCCAGCTTATTTTACTTAATGATTAGACACCCCAGCTTATTTTACTTAACGATTAGACACCCCAGCTTATTTTTATTTAATGATTAGACACCCCAGCTTATAACGATTAGACACCCCAGCTTATTTTACTGAACGATTAGACACCCCAGCTTATTTTACTTAATGATTAGACACCCCAGCTTATTTTACTTAATGATTAGACACCCCAGCTTATTTTACTTAACGACTAGACACCCCAGCTTATTTTACTTAACGATTAGACACCCCAGCTTATTTTACTTAATGATTAGACACCCAGCTTATTTCACCTGAACATTAGACACCCTAGCACGTTTCAATCTTTCTGGGAGGGACAAAGATAAAATACTGAAAATAACAGTGTACTGTGCGTTCTGTCGACCACTTGTGACAACCCTCCCATTACTTCCACGGGGAATACAATTAAACTTTTAGAAATATTAGACGAGTAGAAAGACAATAAAGTCGGTGAAAAGAACATGAAATAATTTATGCTTTTGCCTCTGAGGATTCATGGTTAGTCATTAGGGATGCAGCTCCAAAAAAATTATTAACCAGAACTTAAGTTTCCTAGGGGGGTTAGGTTACGTCAGGTTAGGTTAGGTTAGATTAGCGTGTTTAATCACCAGGTGAAATAATCTGGAGAGCCTACTAATCTTCACGTGATAACAAAACGAAAAAAATTTAAAAAGAAAATAAAAGATACAGGAAATACACAGATCAACCAATATAACTAATTGACTTGACATACCTTACTCCCCCCCCCCTCCCCCCAGTAAAGTGTCATCGAGAGGATACACCCTTTTGAACCTCAGTTGTGTGTGAATAGTTGCGACGAAAATTCTCTCAACACTTGGCACTACCTGACTCCTATAACTAGCTAGTGAAGGGGCTGCATATCATTAGTCGTTCACAATAACAAAAAACGTTACAACAGAGACAAAAATGTGAATTAAATGATATCCAAATCCTAATCGTCTCTTATCTACACGACCTTCAAGTAGAGCGAAGTTATTGTCAGAAATGTGCAGGGAATATTATTTGTAACCTTACACACGATCGGAGCAGAGGAGATAGTGTAGATAGAGCAGAAAGGAAGAGAGTGTGGTAGTGTGTGGAGGAGAAACCGGAGTGTGGTAGTGTGTGGAGGAGAAACCGGAGTGTGGTAGTGTGTGGAGGAGAGACCAGAGTGTGGTAGTGTGTGGAGGAGAGACCAGAATGTGGTAGTGTGTGGAGGAGAGACCAGAGTGTGGTAGTGTGGAGGAGAGACCAGAGTGTGGTAGTGCGTGGACGAAGGGTAGAGAGAGAGTGGGGGAGGGCGCCGCGCTTCAGTACAAAAATATCTGGTGGTGTTGGTTCACGCCAGCACGAAGAAAGTCACCGTCAGCCTCGACATAATCCTTAATAATATGAGCCTAGTACAGGGCTAAACCTGTCCCTTATAAAACACACCCTCCTCCTCCCTCACTATTACTGCTTTCTCCCCCTTCGGGTCGCGGCGACTAGCTGGCCACTACTACAGTACACACTCAGCCAGAACAGGATGACTAATAAGGACGATGAAACAGTACAAGATAAAAGAACACTGATAAACTACTGTTGAGGATATCAGCAGTGAGTCGCCTAAGAGAGCGGGATTATAGCCGTACGTCAGTACCGGCAAGTTAACCTTGGGTGAGGGAGCCGGTAGTGCCTCACACTACACAGGGACCCGTGCGCAAAAGTTGGTTAATTTTGCTTCCATTCAAAGTAATGTTCACCACGCCCTCATTCACACAATAACAAGAGCTGTACTTACAAGGTGAGTCAATTTGAAGATCATTCTTGCGTTGATAGAAGGGCCACGATGTGGTTTTTCTTCTCCTGGTCTCTAGAACAACGTGGTACAACCCACTCTATCTATATGCAGTTTTCAGTCTTTAGTTCTCTGCAGAATTACGAATGTATTTCCCGCCTTTGGTTGTCCACTGACGGTAAAGGCTACAGTACTGGTGTCCCCGGGTGAAGACGACTGTGAGGGGGAGCGGCAGGTAGAGGAGCAACAGAGGTGTGCAGAGGTGTTGCCGTCGGTGACCGCACTGAGGGGAGGAGAGGCGCGCCCAGTAGGCGCCGCGGGCTGGATTACACTAGCAAGCTCTGCCACCGCCGCCACTACCAGCCAGCACCAATAGCAGGCACGCGCCGCACACCTCCGCCCCCCCCCCACCCCCCACCTCCACGTATTCATCATCACACCCAACTAGTGTCAGCTGCACTTACAAGAGTATATTTCTCTTTTGTGTGCCCAGTATGGCAATAATACTCTATGTTTTAAAAGGAAATTATGATGTGGACCCGAGGATTATGTAAAACATATCGTGTAACACATCGCAATCCACTGTTCATATTTTGGATAAGTGTTTTGAAGTTATAGTAACTGTATCAATGGAGGTCTTTCTCCTCAGAGAAACAAAAGCTGTGGGGTTTGTACGAGTGAAGGGACTGAGGTAAGTGTGGGAGAGGCGCCACCTATGTGTTCCCTCACCACCAGCAAGGCAAATCTTTCTGAAAATTATGTGAAATTATATACATTCTTCAAAAATATAATGACTAGTTTGTTACAAATACGTTTTGTAATAACGAAAATGTCAATCATCCTAAGGTTGTTTGTAGCAATTGGTTTTTTATGGGGGGGGGGGGCAAAGCGAGCGAGCTGTGACCGCCACTGTCTCACCTCCCACAGTGTCACTTGTGATGATATTTGATGGAGTCGACATTTCGTCTTTTTTATCAACGCTGTGAGAGGAAGTTTACTAACGTTACGCTAAACTATCTGAACACTGGGTCTGAACAACAAGCATCTTTAGGTAGTGCACAAATCTTTCCTTACAATAGACTTAAAGAACGTTTACACGAGGCGTGTTACTGGGAGCGAGTACTGGTGAGATAACAATCACCGAAACTTGGATGAATCTGGCGAGCAAAAACTTTTTTCAGAGTACCACATAGAAGGGTATAACCTTTTTCACAAGGACAGGGAAGGTAGGAAGGGGGGAGGGGTCGCACTCTTCGTCAAGGATACATTAAAATGTCGTATCAATAATTCAATAAAGGGTGAAATAGGAACCGAGTCTGTATGGGTAGAAATCACGGAAGGAAGAGAAAAACTAATTATGGGAGTGATTTACAGGCCCCCAAGTCTGGGAAAGAAGCAGCTCAGCCTATATGGCAGGAAATGAGTAGGGCAGCAAAATATAACAACCTGTGCATTATGGGGGATTTCAACTTCAGAAATATTGACTGGGACAACATTGTAGGTGACTATGAATCTGAAGACTTCCTAGACGCAGTACAGGACAATTTTTTGAAACAACTAATTACAGAACCTACTAGAGGTGACAATATATTCGACCTAGTATTAACAAATAAAGAAAATATTATCAGAGATATCACAGTAGGGGAAGAACTAGGAAACAGTGATCACAGAGAAATCAGGTTCACCCTAAATTGGGAAACAAAGAACAATGACAATATGGTCAGAGTCCCAAACTTTCGGTTGGCGGATTATCAGGGGTTAAGAAGGTACCTAGGTGAGGTCACCTGGGAACAGTCATGTCAGTCCCCAGTAGGAAGGGGTGAGGTCATAGATGACACAACAATTGATCATGATTATAATATATTCACTAGTATACTACATAAAGTACAAGAACAAAATAAACCATACAGAAAAAATAGGTCAAATAAGAATGAGCCAAGGTGGATGACCAGAAAACTTAAACATGACATAGGAATAAAGAAAGGAATATATAAGAAATTAAAGGGAGGGGAGGAGCAGCTCAGAAATAGGTATAATGTAAGGAAAGCAAAGAGAGACTATGAAATCAAAATAGCAAGAGAATCCAAGGCGAATCCCAAGGGATTTTTCCAGGTATATAGGACAAAGGTCAAGTTGGGCCTTTAAAGTCAGGGAGGGGAGGAGTGATAAATGGCAGTGAAGAAATAAGCAAAGCATTGAACAGCTATTTCTTATCAGTTTTCACAGAAGAAATTCGCGATGAAATTCCAGAGGTGGAACTGATATTTAAGGGAAAGGAAGAAGAGAAATTAAAGAATATCACTATCAGAAAAGAGGATGTTCTTAAGAAGATAAATAAACTAAAGAAGACAAAATCCCCAGGGCCGGATGAAATTTTCCCTCGAGTCTTGAAAGAGTGTAGGGAACAGATTAGCGGACCCCTCGTAAACTTATTTACAAAATCATTAGACATCGGAGTTGTGCCAGACTTGTGGAAACAGGCAAATGTAGTACCCATGTTAAAAAAGGGAGACAGTGCATTAGCGTCAAATTACCGGCCGATCAGTTTGACGTCAGTAGTGGGGAAATTTCTTGAATCAATTATAGCAGATAGCATCCGATCGCATCTAGAGAAAAGCAAATTAATCTACGACTCTCAACATGGGTTTACGAAGGGAAAATCTTGTCTAACAAATCTGCTGACGTTTTTTAGGAAAGTCTTCGAGGTAGTAGATAATGACGAAAATTACGATGTTATTTACTTAGACTTTAGCAATGCATTTGACAGAGTACCGCATCAGAGGCTTCTGAGAAAAATTAAGGCTCATGGTATCGAGGGTAAAGTTTTAAATTGGATAAAATCATGGCTCACCGATAGAACACAGAGGGTCAGCATAGATGGTGTTAAATCTGAGTGGGGCCGTGTAACCAGTGGGGTTCCCCAGGGGTCAGTACTAAGCCCACTCTTGTTCATAATCTACATAAACGATCTAGATACTGGGATCAGCAGTGACATAAGCAAGTTTGCGGATGACACCAAAATAGGGCGGCTGATTAATTCAGGGCAGGATGCAAATGCATTACCGGAGGATCTAAATAAACTACAGGGGTGGTCTGAAAAATGGCAAATGAAATTCAACACCAGCAAGTGCAGTGTACTTAATATTAGAAGAACAAATACTGATAATGTATACAGCCTTAACAACATCAACCTAGAGAAGTCGACTTGTGAAAGAGACCTCGGGGTACTTGTAAGCCCGGACCTACGGCCTAGAAAACAGTGCGTTAATGTTCGAAATAAGGCAAACTGAGTATTGGGTTTTATATCTAGAAGTGTAAGTAACAAGAGTGCAGAGGTCTTATTGCAGCTATATCTTGCGCTAGTCAGGCCGCACCTCGGTTATGATGTTCAGTTATGGTGCCCTTATTATAGAATGGATATAAATTCACTAGAGTCGGTGCAGCGACGAATGACAAAAATGATTCCGGGACTTAGAAACCTTCCATATCAGGATAGGTTAAAGAAACTTAACTTGCATTCCCTAGAAAGACGAAGAGTGCGGGGAGATATGATAGAAGTATTTAAGTGGGTGAAAGGAATCAATAAAGGGGATATAGATAAAGTTCTTATAATATTCGAGCAGGATAGGACTCGGAGTAACGGATTTAAGTTGGATAAGTTTAGGAGGGAGATAGGAAGGAACTGGTTCACAAATAGGGTGGTGGACGAGTGGAACAAGCTTAGCAACTTTGTAGTAAGTGCTGGAACGCTGGAAAGTTTCAAAAGGAGGCTGGATAGATTCATGGATGATAGAGAGTGGTAGTAACTCTCGACAGGAGCTGCCATGCACAGGCCAACCGGCCTATTGCAGACTCCTTATTTTCTTATGTTCTTATGTTCACTCAACGGGTTAATTATTCTACAGCGGCGAGATGGTTTTGTCCAGGGGGTATTATCCGGGCTGTTCTGTCCGAGGGGTTTGTCCGGGGAGTTTTGTCCGGGGATTTGTCCAAGGAGGCTTTTGTCCGGACCCCGGTTATTAGATAAGGTTGGCGAATCCTGACACTGAAAAACCTCATTGAGTATGTGAGTGAAAGCCACTTATGCCGCGACGAATAACAATGACGCGACTGATTTAAAGGGAGGAGGAGAGTTACCACTTCATCTTATCAACCACGCAAGACTCTTCCCGCACTCAAACTGTTTATAAATTCATTTTTAACGTGAGTGAATATAACTTTTCCTGTGTACAGTATGACCTAACCTAACCTGACCTAATCAAACCGAACCTGACCTAATCCACCCTAACCTAACTTGACCTAATCCAACCTAACCTAACTTGGCGTAATCTAACCTAACCTGACGTAATCCAGCCTAACCTAACGTAATCCAACCTAACCTAACCTGACGTAATCCAACTTAACCTAACCTGACGTAATCCTAACCTGACATGTACAGTCAGCCAAAGATGCACTCACCCCACCCTGGGTCTCGTGCTCTCCATTTTACCTGGCAATACTTGGTAAAGGAAGGCTGTATGTAATGGTGATTGTTTTGAGCTGTATCACTGTCAGGATAAATATTAAACAAACCATAGGTAACATTTTTATAATAATAGACTATTCCTTGTTATTTAAAGTCAGGAGAAGTTTCCAAATGTTCGTATGTTTGTTTAAATTGTGAATAAAATTTGATGATAATCTTGTGGCAGCTGTGGTTGTAGTTGAGTTGCAAATTCATTAATTTAATTTTCTTCATTACTTAAGCAAATATACGAAAATTTGGAAACGTCTCATGACCTTAAATAACAATGAATAGTTTATTTAATAATTATCCTGACAGTGATACAGCCGAAAACAATCCACCAATCGTAATCACCTTTACATACAACCTTACTTTACCAAGTATTGCCAGGTAAAATGGCGAGCACGAGACCTAGGGTGGGGTCGGTGCATCTTTGGCTGACTGTACATTGTAGAGTCGTCAAAAAAATATCGTTAGCCATGGGGGTTGATGTGATTCGAGGCTTTCCGAGCAGTGTTACTCGACCTGTTTCTGTGCGGTTGGTAGTTCTACATCCGCGACCTTTGAGCATGAATGAGTATATACGTTTTCGAACGATGTGAATCTTCCGAGGCTTCAGATCATGACTCAGAGTGGATGTCGTATAAGGGCACCAACACAATGCCAGTCATCAACAGGATCTTACATTGAATAGAGCGAGGAATTATTGGGGGGACATAGCAAGATGTGAGAGCTTATCATTGCCCTTCATAAGGAGGGTAAACAAAACACTGAGATAACACGACGAACTGGGGTGAGCGAACCCACAGTATCACGATGGGTTAGACG